AGTCTATGTGGGTGGGGACGAGGACAGGTTGACGAGTTTAGCAGTTACCAGGGAGGATGTTCTTAAACAAATAGTAAAACTCAAACCAAACAAATCCCCAGGGCCGGATGAAGTGTTTGCTAGGGTGCTTAAAGAATGCAAAGAGGAGCTTTGTGACCCACTGTCAACCATATTTAATAAATCAATAGAGTCAGGCAGAGTGCCAGAGTTTTGGAAAGTTGCTAATGTGATACCAGTTTTTAAGAAAGGAGATAGATCACTTGCGTCTAACTATCGACCAATTAGCCTAACGTCTATTGTGGGAAAGTTACTCGAATCTATAATAGCAAATAAAATTCGTCTTCATCTTGAAAAGCATAAATTAATAATTGAGTCGCAACATGGTTTTATAAATGGCCGTTCATGTTTAACAAATTTGTTATCTTTTTATTCTAGCATTGTTGAGGCAGTTGATAGTGGTAAGGATTGCGATGTTGTGTACCTTGACTTTAGCAAAGCTTTTGATACAGTGCCACATGAAAGACTGATTAAAAAAATAGAGTCTCATGGTATTGGGGGTGCTATATTAAGCTGGATTAGGGCATGGCTATACCAAAGGAAACAGAGAGTTAGTATAAATGGAATCAAGTCAGAGTGGGAAAATGTTGTAAGTGGAGTGCCTCAAGGCTCTGTCCTGGGACCTCTGTTGTTTATAATATATATAAATGATTTAGATTCAGGTTTGAGTAGCAACATTTGCAAATTTGCCGATGATACGAAAATCGGTAGGGAAATTAATTCGGAGGAGGACTCACTATCACTTCAAGTTGATCTAGATAGGGTTTTGAAATGGTCAAAGGATTGGCAGATGCAGTTTAATGCTGATAATGTAAAGTTCTGAGGTTAGGTAATGATGATAGAGTTACAAGATACGAGCTAGATGGTGTTGTGATTGCGAAGTCGGATTGCGAAAGGGATCTGGGAGTTATGATTAGTAAGAATTTAAAACAAAAGGATCAATGCATAAATGTTCGTAATAAGGCAAATCGGACACTTGGATTTATTAATCGCAGCGTTAGTAACAAGACACCTGGTGTGGTTCTCAAGCTATATCTTGCTCTAGTTAGGCCCCATTTAGATTATGCAGTTCAGTTTTGGTCGCCATATTATAGAATGGATATAATTCACTTGAACGTGTCCAGCGTAGGATGACTAAGTTAATTCCCCAAATTAGAAATCTTTCATATGAAGAAAGATTAACAAAGCTTAAGTTGCATTCACTGGAAAGGCGAAGAGTTAGGGGTGACATGATAGAGGTTTACAAGTGGATGAATGGACATAACCGGGGGGATATTAATAGGGTATTAAAAGTATCAACACAGGACAGAACACGAAACAATGGATATAAATTGGATAAGTTTAGATTTAGGAAAGACTTGGGTAAATACTGGTTCAGTAACAGGGTTGTTGATTTGTGGAACCAATTGCCGCGTAACATTGTGGAGGTGGGGTCCCTCGATTGTTTCAAGCACGGGTTGGACAAGTATATGAGTGGGATTGGGTGGTTATAGAATAGGAGCTGCCTCGTATGGGCCAATAGGCCTTCTGCAGTTACCTTTGTTCTTATGTTCTTAAGGGTAATCACAGTTGCAAACATGCACCATAAAGGGTAATCACAGTTGCAGACATGCACCATAAAGGGTAATCACAGTTGCAGACATGCACCATAAAGGGTAATCACAGTTGCAAACATGCACCATAAAGGGTAATCACAGTTGCAGACATGTACCATAAAGGGTAATCACAGTTGCAGACATGCACCATAAAGGGTAATCACAGTTGCAGACATGCACCATAAAGGGTAATCACAGTTGCAGACATGCACCATAAAGGGTAATCACAGTTGCAGACATGCACCATAAAGGGTAATCACAGTTGCAGACATGTACCATAAAGGGTAATCACAGTTGCAAACATGCACCATAAAGGGTAATCACAGTTGCAGACATGTACCATAAAGGGTAATCACAGTTGCAAACATGCACCATAAAGGGTAATCACAGTTGCAGACATGCACCATAAAGGGTAATCACAGTTGCAGACATGCACCATAAAGGGTAATCACAGTTGCAGACATGCACCATAAAGGGTAATCACAGTTGCAGACATGCACCATAAAGGGTAATCACAGTTGCAAACATGCACCATAAAGGGTAATCACAGTTGCAGACATGCACCATAAAGGGTAATCACAGTTGCAGACATGCACCATAAAGGGTAATCACAGTTGCAAACATGCACCATAAAGGGTAATCACAGTTGCAGACATGTACCATAAAGGGTAATCACAGTTGCAGACATGCACCATAAAGGGTAATCACAGTTGCAGACATGTACCATAAAGGGTAATCACAGTTGCAGACATGCACCATAAAGGGTAATCACAGTTGCAGACATGCACCATAAAGGGTAATCACAGTTGCAAACATGTACCATAAAGGGTAATCACAGTTGCAAACATCCTTATGTTTGTTTACATCTACATCTAGATGAAAATCTACATTGATTGTTTAAATCTACATCAATTTCATAAAGGTTTTGATCTTCGGTACTTTACTGTTTAGCAAACTTTCAATGCTTGTGTGGCATCAGTTATAACTGACCACCAGACACAACCGAGGCCTTTTGGTATAATAATTTAATTCTCGTTGTCGGAGATAGGAAGCCTATACTTAGGTTTATCGTGGTCCTCCAAGAGTCTAGGCCAAAGAATGACCTCCCCTCTTCTGGTTTCCTCCCACAACAGTTGCCTAACTCCCATGTACCTATTTACTGCTGGGAACTGAGGTATCAGCTGTAAAGCTCCCTTTAGGCTAAATACTGACCTTCCCCAGGATGCAACCCATAACAGTTGTTTAACTCCTGTGTAACTATTTATTGCTAGGTGAACAGAGCGTCGCACAAAAGGAAACTTTTCCAATCGTTTGGCCCACCTAGAGATTAAACCCACGTCCCTTGGTTGTGAGGAGAGTTGTCACTGTTGCTTCACCTGGTGCTGTGTGATGGTCACTGTTGCTTCACCTGGTGTTGTGTGTTGGTCACTGTTGCTTCACCTGGTGCTGTGTGTTGGTCACTGTTGCTTCACCTGGTGCTGTGTGATGGTCACTGTTGCTTCACCTGGTGCTGTGTGATGGTCACTGTTGCTTCACCTGGTGCTGTGTGATGGTCACTGTTACTTCACCTGGTGCTGTGTTGGTCACTGTTGCTTCACCTGGTGCTGTGTGTTGGTCACTGTTGCTTCACCTGGTGCTGTGTGTTGGTCACTGTTGCTTCACCTGGTGCTGTGTGTTGGTCACTGTTGCTTCACCTGGTGCTGTGTGTTGGTCACTGTTGCTTCACCTGGTGCTGTGTGTTGGTCACTGTTGCTTCACCTGGTGCTGTGTGTTGGTCACTGTTGCTTCACCTGGTGCTGTGTGTTGGTCACTGTTGCTTCACCTGGTGCTGTGTGTTGGTCACTGTTGCTTCACCTGGTGCTGTGTGTTGGTCACTGTTGCTTCACCTGGTGCTGTGTGTTGGTCACTGTTGCTTCACCTGGTGCTGTGTGTTGGTCACTGTTGCTTCACCTGGTGCTATGTGTTGGTCACTGTTGCTTCACCTGGTGCTATGTGTTGGTCACTGTTGCTTCACCTGGTGCTGTGTGATGGTCACTGTTGCTTCACCTGGTGCTGTGTGATGGTCACTGTTGCTTCACCTGGTGCTGTGTGATGGTCACTGTTGCTTCACCTGGTGCTGTGTGATGGTCACTGTTGCTTCACCTGGTGCTGTGCCTGTCACCAATACTGTACCTAGCATTCCGCTGGAAAATGTTATCCTGATAGCATACAGAATGTGACAATGGTCCACTTTAATTGTGTGGTTGTTATTGACACTTGTACAGGTTTATTATTTTTATTAAGGAATTGACTGAATCACTGAGATGAAGAAGCTTTATGTGGGCCTTGTATGGGAGTGGCCTCAACCTGTGACCCTTTGGGTTGATTCATTAGTCATGCAGTCACCAGTCCCTACACAGTGGTGAGTGTGTCTGTGTGTGTGTGTGTGTTATGCCCATGAACCGACTTGTTCCCTTTGTGGTGCGTAATAAGCAGGGCATGGGCGACGTCTCGGGCCACATCTTAACTGTAGAATTTACAGTACTTTTTATTTTTTTTTATTCTTTTGTAATAGGAATATTATTTTTATTTTAAGCATTTAAGTTCAGATGAAACTTGGTTAAAGTGTGATGTTGATCTGGACACTCGTTGATATATTCACGGTTTACGAGACTTGAAACTGGCCTCGTGTTGGTTAGCTCAAATGGGCTATATAGGATTAGGTTAACACATTGATATTATATAGAAGTCTGTAGATATGAGTACTGTATCAATTGCTTCAGAACACCTGTGTATTACCCCCTCACAGTATTGTATTGTATTGTATTGTATTACCATTTCCAATTATTATGTAATTTACTGAACAGTGTACTTCATTTTCATTTGTTAAAGTTTTCTATACAGGTACAGTACCATTCTTTTTCTTTGTGGTTAGGTTATTGAGGTTCCTGGGTTAATGTGAGTGTGTTTTGGACTTTGTATGGACTATTTCTAACATGTATGAATGTCAGCTGCTTTAGGGCCACACGTTGTTAACAGATGATATGTATAGTCAAACAGAGATTCAGTATTGTATATTGTCACAATACTGTATGTCTGTTATATTTGTGTTTGGTATTTTATGATCATAAAATATATAAGAAGTTAATAAGGTAGAACTGTTAATAATACAGTATATGTTCCTGCTACTTAAGATTAAGCAGTATCTCGTAATATTTTTATTTTTTTACTGCATCTGTCTCTCACACTCTCCCAATAACAACATATTTGTCTATACTGTACTGTATGTGAATAACCTTTTTCCTAAAAATATGACGGTATAAATTACATTTATTTTTTTTTGTTACAAGATCCTGTGCTGTTTTGCAGGGCACGGCAAGAATCACAAAGATGCAGCTAGTGTCCGTGCCACGAATCCAATACCTGCTGCATGTGGTCTCTATTATTATGAGGTCAAAATCGTCAGTAAAGGCAGAGATGGGTAAGTTTACGAGATACAGTGGTTTAACCTTACAAGTACAGTACCTGTACTGTATGCTTATATTAATGAATCTCCCTAATGCAGAGGTGATGTAGCATTTTGGCAAGCATAGTACACAAGCCATTTTGGATCATTGTGTACTGCAGAGGTCATGATATGGCAGATATTTGTTTCATTTGGTGGAAGGTAAGAGAAATGGGGTCGATATGGGAAATTGAGAATGCACAGTACAGAAAATTGGGAAAGTGTAGTGACTTAAGGGAAATGGGGAAGGTTATAGAAATTGGGAAGGTATAGGATATGTGGAAAACAGGTCTAAACCAAATTTGAAAGTTAGGAAAAATTGGTAAGAAATGGAGAGTTGTAAAAGCAAAGTAAATATTGAAGGTTATGGAAATACGAAGGCAAGGATAAGTGAAGATGTAAAGGAAATCGGGAAGGTAATGTTAGTAGAAAAGCTGTTAGAAGTTAGGGAGGTGTGGGGAACAGGAAGGTAAGGGATATGGGAAAGATGAGGCAAATGGCAAATTTAAATGCAAAGAACATTTTTAATGAGAAGGTAAGATAATAGAAATGACATGAGAAATTAGGAAAGGTGGGTAAATGGAATGTGAACAATAATTGTGGAATATATAAAAATACAATGTGAGAAATGGGAAAGGTAGATACAATTTATGAAGATGGGATAGTAAGGGAAGTGTCATTCTCAGTGCTAATTATGTAGCATATGTATTGCTGTTTGTGGATCTTTCAGGTATATGGGTATTGGCCTCTCATCACAAGGTGTCAATATGAACCGATTACCAGGATGGGACAAGAATTCGTTTGGGTATCACGGCGACGACGGGCATTCTTTTTGTTCCTCGGGTAGCGGCCATCCTTATGGCCCCACCTTCACCACAGGTACGCTGGAGTGTTCTCCTGCTGGTGTGTTGTTGTTGTCTTTGTGTATTTATGTCTTAACACACAAGAGTAAATTATACCACCTCCCCTCTTCTTCCTCTCTCTCCTCTTCTTCTTCCTCCCCCTTTCCCCTCTTCTTCCTCCCCCTTTCCCCTCTTCTTCCTCCCCCTTTCCCCTCTTCTTCCTCCCCCTCTCTCCCCTCTTCTTCTTCCTCCCCCTCTCCCCTCTTCTCTTCTTCTTCCTTCCCCTCTCCCCTCTTCTTCTTCCTTCCCCTCTCCCCTCTTCTTCTTCCTCCCCCTCTCCCCTCTTCTTCTTCTTCCCCCTCTCCCCTCTTCTTCTTCCTCCCCCTCTCCCCTCTTCTTCTTCCTCCCCCTCTCCCCTCTTCTTCTTCCTCCCCCTCTCCCCTCTTCTTCTTCCTCCCCCTCTCCCCTCTTCTTCTTCCTCCCCCTCTCCCCTCTTCTTCTTCCTCCCCCTCTCCCCTCTTCTTCTTCCTCCCCCTCTCCCCTCTTCTTCTTCCTCCCCCTCTCCCCTCTTCTTCTTCCTCCCCCTCTCCCCTCTTCTTCTTCCTCCCCCTCTCCCCTCTTCTTCTTCCTCCCCCTCTCCCCTCTTCTTCTTCCTCCCCCTCTCCCCTCTTCTTCTTCCTCCCCCTCTCCCCTCTTCTTCTTCCTCCCCCTCTCCCCTCTTCTTCTTCCTTCCCCTCTCCCCTCTTCTTCTTCCTCCCCCTCTCCCCTCTTCTTCTTCCTCCCCCTCTCCCCTCTTCTTCTTCCTCCCCCTCTCCCCTCTTCTTCCTCCTCCCTCTCTCCCCTCTTCTTCTTCCTCCCCCTCTCCCCTCTTCTTCTTCCTCCCCCTCTCCCCTCTTCTTCTTCCTCCCCCTCTCCCCTCTTCTTCTCTTCCCCCCCTCTCCCCTCTTCTTCTTCCCCCCTCTCTCCCCTCCCCTTCTCCCCTTCCTCCCCCCCTCTCTCCCCTCTTCCCCTCTTCCTCCCCCTCTCTCCTCCCCTCTTCTTCTTCTTCCTTCCCCCCCTCTCTCCCCTCTTCTTCTTCCTCCCCCCCTCTCTCCCCTTCTTCTTCTTCCTCCCCCCTCTCTCCCCTCTTCTTCTTCCTCCCCCCCTCTCTCCCCTCTTCTTCTTCCTCTCCCCTCTCTCCCCTCTTCTTCTTCCTCCCCCCTCTCTCCCCTCTTCTTCTTCCTCCCCCCTCTCTCCCCTCTTCTTCCTCCCTCTCTCTTCCTTCCCTCTTCTTCCTCCCCCTCTCTTCCCCTCTTCTTCTTCCTCCCCCTCTCTCCCCTCTTCTTCTTCATCCCCCTCTCTCCCCTCTTCTTCTTCCTCCCCCTCTCCCCCTCTCTTCTTCCTCCCCCTCTCTCCCCTCTTCTTCTTCCTCCCCCTCTCCCTTCTTCTTCCTCCCCATCTCCCCTCTTCTTCCCCCCTTCCCCCCTCTCTCCCCTCTTCTTCCTCCCCATCTCCCCCTTCCCCCCTCTCCCCTCTTCTTCCTCCCCCTCTATCCTTCCTTCTTCCTCCCCCCTCTCCTCCCCCTCCCCCTTCTTCCTCCCCCTCTCCCCTCTTCTTCCTCCCCATCTCCCCCTCTTCTTCTTCCCCCCCCTCTCTCCCCCTTCTTCTTCCTCCCCCCCTCTCTCCCCTCTTCTTCTTCTCTCTCCCCTCTTCTTCTTCCTCTCTCTCCCCTCTTCTTCTTCTCTCCCCCTTCTTCTCTCCTCCCCCCTTCTCTCTCCCTCTTCTCTTCTTCCTCCCCCTCTCTCCCCCCCTCTTCTTCTTCCCCCCCTCTCTCCCCTCTTCTTCTTCCTCCCCCCTCTCTCCTCTTCCTCTTCTCTTCCTCCCCCTCTCTCTCCCCTCTCTTCTTCCTCCCCCTCTCTCCCCTCTTCTTCTTCCTCCCCCTCTCTCCCCTCCCCTCTCCCCCCTTCCCCTCTCTCCCCTCTTCTTCTCCCCCCTCTCCCCTCTTCTTCCTCCCCCCTCTCTCTCTTCCTCCCCCCTCTCTCTCTCCCCCTCTCCCCTCTTCTTCCTCCCCTCTCTCCCCTTCTCTTCCTCCCCCCTCTCCCCTCTTCCCCTCTTCTTCTTCCCCCCCTCTCCCCCCTCTTCCTCCCCCCCTCTCTCCCTCCCTCTTCCTCCCCCTCTCTCCCTTCTTCTTCCCCCTCTCTCCCCTCTTCTTCCTCCCCCCCTCTCTCCCCTCTTCTTCCCTCCCCCTCTCTCCCTCTTCTTCCTCTCCCTCTCTTCCCCTTCTTCTTCTTCCTCTCCTCTCCCCTCTTCTTCCCTCCCCCTCCCCTCTTCCTCCCCCTCTCTCCCCTCTTCCCCCCTCTTCCTCCCCCTCTCTTCCCCCCCTCTTCCTCCCCCTCTCCCCTCTTCCTCCCTCTCTCCCCTCTTCTTCTTCCTCCCCCTCTCTCCCCTCTTCTTCTTCCTCCCTCTCTCCCCTCTTCTTCTTCCTCTCTCTCTCCCCTCTTCTTCTTCCTCCCTCTCTCCCCTCTTCTTCTTCCTCCCTCTCTCCCCTCTTCTTCTTCCTCCCTCTCTCCCCTCTTCTTCTTCCTCCCTCTCTCCCCACTTCTTCTCCTCCCCTCTCTCCCTCTCTTCCCCTCTCTTCTTCTTCCTCCCCCTCTCTCCCCTCTTCTTCTTCCTCTTCCCCTCTCCCCTCTTCTTCCTCCCCCTCTCTTCCCCTCTTCTTCCTCCCTCTCTCTTCCCTCTTCTTCTTCCTCCCCCTCTCTTCCCCTCTTCTTCTTCCTCCCCCTCTCTCTCTCCCCTCTTCTTCCTCCCTCCCTCTCTCTCCCCTCTTCTTCCTCCCTCTCTCTCTCTCCCCCTCTCTCTCTCCCCTCTTCTTCTTCCTCCCTCTCTCTCCCCTCTTCTTCTTCCTCCCTCTCTCCCCTCTTCTTCTTCCTCCCCCTCTCCCCTCTTCTTCTTCCTCCCCCTCTCTTCCCCTCTTCTTCTTCCTCCCCCTCTCTTCCCCTCTTCTTCCTCCCTCTCTCTTCCCTCTTCTTCTTCCTCCCCCTCTCTTCCCTCTTTTTCTTCCTCCCCCTCTCTTCCCCTCTTCTTCTTCCTCCCCCTCTCTTCCCCTCTCTTCCTCCCCCTCTCTTCCCCTCTTCTTCTTCCTCCCCCTCTCTTCCCCTCTTCTTCTTCCTCCCTCTCTCTTTTTCTCCCCTCTTCTTCCTCCCTCTTCTTCCTCTCCCTCTCGTCCCTCTTCTTCTTCCTCCCCCTCTCTTCCCCTCTTCTTCTTCCTCCCTCTCTCTTCCTCTTCTTTCCCCCTCTCTCCTTCTCTTCCTCCTCCCCCTCTCTCCCCTCTTCTTCCTCCCTCTCTCTTCCCTCTTCTTCCTCCCTCTCTCTTCCCTCTTCTTCCTCCCCCTCTCTTCCCCTCTTCTTCTTCTTCCCCTCTCTCTCTTCTCTCCCCTCTTCTTCCTCCCCCTCTCTCTCTCCCCTCTTCTTCCTCCCTCTCTCTCCCCTCTTCTTCCTCCCCCTCTCCCCCCTCTTCTTCTTCCTCCCTCTCTCCCCTTCTTCCTCCCCCTCTCTCCCCTCTTCTTCTTCCTCCCCCTCTCTCTCCCCTCTTCTTCCTCCCTCTCTCCCCTCTTCTTCCTCCCCCTCTCTCCCCCTCTTCTTCTTCCTCTCTCTCTCCCCCTCTTCTTCCTCTCTCTCTCTCTCTCTCTCTCTCCCCCCCCTCTTCTTCCTCCCCTCTTATTTCTGCCCTCTTCTTCCTCCCCTCTTATTTCTGCCCTCTTCTTCCTCCTTTCTCCCCTTATTTTCTTCTTCCTCCCCTCTTCTTCCCCTCTCTCATTTCTGAGTGTGTGAAAGTAAGGGAAAGAGATAATATAGGAATACAGGAAACTGCAGAAGTGGTTGACCCATGAGAGGCCTGAGAGCTGAGTGGACAGCGCTTGGTATTCATAGTCCTAAGGTTCTGGGTTCGATCGTCGGCGGAGGCGGAAACCAATGTGCAGAATTTCTTTCACCGTGATGTGTCTGCTCACCTTGCAGTAAATAGGTACCTGAGAGTTACAGATGCTGCGGGCTGTTTCCTGAGGGTGTAACAAAAAGGAGGCCTGGTCAAGGACCGGGCCGCGGGGACGCTAAGTCCCGAAATCATCTTGAGATAACCTTAAGATTTGTTCCATGAATTTACCACTCGGTTTCCAAACCAGTATTTATCAAGATCTTTCCTGACTGTAAAGTTATCCAATTTATATCCATAGTGATCTATTTTGTGCTGATGTATTTAACACCTGATTGATATCTTTATTGTTATACCAATTCATTCATAAGAACTATTGTGTGTGCAATATTATTAGTGTGGTAAACGATGGGGGTTAAGTGTAATAGGGGTGGAGGGAGGAGAAGTAGTGGTGGAGGAATGGTGGGTGGAGGGAGGGGGAATGGTTGGGTGGAGGGAGGAGGAATGGTTGGGTGGAGGGAGGAGGAATGGTTGGGTGGAGGGAGGAGAAATGGTTGGGTGGAGGGAGGAGGAATGGTGGGTGGAGGGAGGAGGAATGGTTGGGTGGAGGGAGGAGGAATGGTTGGGTGGAGGGAGGAGGAATGGTTGGGTGGAGGGAGGAGGAATGGTTGGGTGGAGGGAGGAGGAATGGTTGGGTGGAGGGAGGAGGAATGGTTGGGTGGGGGGAGGAGGAATGGTTGGGTGGAGGGAGGAGGAATGGTTGGGTGGGGGGAGGAGGAATGGTTGGGTGGAGGGAGGAGGAATGGTTGGGTGGAGGGAGGAGGAATGGTTGGGTGGAGGGAGGAGGAATGGTTGGGTGGAGGGAGGGAAAATGGTTGGGTGGAGGGAGGGAAAATGGTTGGGTGGAGGGAGGAGGAATGGTTGGGTGGAGGGAGGAGGAATGGTGGGTGGAGGGAGGAGGAATTATGGGTGGAGGGAGGAGGAATGGTTGGGTGGAGGGAGGGAATGGTGGGTGGAGGGAGGAGGAATGGTTGGGTGGAGGGAGGAGGAATGGTTGGGTGGAGGGAGGAGGAATGGTTGGGTGGAGGGAGGAGGAATGGTTGGGTGGAGGGAGGGAAAATGGTTGGGTGGAGGGAGGAGGAATGGTTGGGTGGAGGGAGGGGAATGGTGGGGTGGAGGGAGGAGAAATTGTTGGGTGGAGGGAGGAGAAATTGTTGGGTGGAGGGAGGGAAAATGGTTGGGTGGAGGGAGGAGGAATGGTTGGGTGGGGGGAGGAGGAATGGTTGGGTGGGGGGAGGAGGAATGGTTGGGTGGAGGGAGGAGGAATTATGGGTGGAGGGAGGAGGAATGGTTGGGTGGAGGGAGGAGGAATGGTTGGGTGGAGGGAGGAGGAATGGTTGGGTGGAGGGAGGGAAAATGGTTGGGTGGAGGGAGGGAAAATGGTTGGGTGGAGGGAGGAGGAATGGTTGGGTGGAGGGAGGAGGAATGGTTGGGTGGGGGAGGAGAAATGGTGGGTGGAGGGAGGAGGGTGGAGGAGGAATGGTTGGGTGGGGGAGGAGAAATGGTGGGTGGAGGGAGGAGGAATGGTTGGGTGGAGGGAGGAGGAATGGTTGGGTGGAGGGAGGGAAAATGGTTGGGTGGAGGGAGGAGGAATGGTTGGGTGGAGGGAGGGGGAATGGTGGGGTGGAGGGAGGAGAAATTGTTGGGTGGAGGAGGAGAAATTGTTGGGTGGAGGGAGGGGGAATGGTGGGTGGAGGGAGGGGGAATGGTTGGGTGGCGGAGGAGGAATGGTTGGGTGGAGGGAGGAGGAATGGTTGGGTGGGGGAGGAGAAATGGTGGGTGGAGGGAGGAGGGTGGAGGAGGAATGGGTGGGGGTGGAGGGTGGATGGAGGCAAAATAGAAGGTAGGTGGAGGGGGGGGTGGAGGAAGGCAAAACAAGAGGGTGAAGGGAGGGATAATAGGTGGGTGGAGTGAGGAGAAATCCTGGTGGATAAGATGAGTGTGTAACATGGTATTGTTACATCAGTTGTGGTGACACTAAACACAGACAGTAGATAAATATATACAGTATACTGTACATGTATTTGGAGGACTGTAGTATACAGAAGTTTGTAGGTGAAGCTTGGCAAGCTGTGGTGAGAGGGCCAGTCAGGCAGTTTGAGTGTTATAATGCATCCTGATGAATGTCGATGGTGTTTGATGATCTGCTGTATCTCTAGTGTCTGTCACTGAACGCTATTGGAGTTTGACTCAGACTCGTGACCATCTGCTTTCGATGGCTCATATTTCAAGCTTATCCTCACTTTGCCTGGTGATGCCGATACACTTGGGAAGAGAGATTATTCGTAATAAGCTCTTATAGGATTAGTGTAGCACTTTCTTGGAATGTAGAATTCTCAGGCATAAGTTAAGTGGAATTAAGAGGCACTTGTAATTACAGTATCTGCATTGCAACTAATGAGAGTTTGGAGCACTTACATTACCCTAATATAACTGTTCCAAGTAAAAGTGGCAGCAACAGGAAGAGTACTTGTTCTTGCTCATCTTCTTAATAAGATATTGAAAGAATAAAATATTGAAAGTCTGGATGTTGTTGTACTGTCTTCATCATCACAAATAATATTATATCAGTGCACTGCAACTTGACAAATAATAATAATATTGATTTTCATGCATTTCAGGGGATGTAATTGGCTGTGGTATTAACCTTATCGACAATGTTTGTTTCTACACAAAAAATGGCCATTATCTTGGTGTAGCATTTACAGATTTACCGGTGAGTATTTATTAATTTGTAAAATATATTAACAAATCCAAACTAGGATTCATCAAGCTCTCAAATAACCCACCTAAGAGACTTGATTTCCTTAGTCATGATGTCTTAGTTTGTATTAATAGGACAGTTTATGAGCTGTGAAGTGGTTTGAGGATGACTGTATCAATAAGACCGTTGGCACGAGAGTGACATCCCAGTATTTTGGAGCTTGTGAACTGTTTAATAAATATATTACTACTGTATACTTATGCAGCCATGATTGAGGAAAAATTTGGAGGTTTCTTGGACTTAAGTGCTTATTGAATCCTGACCTCTGTATTGTAGCTGTATTTAACTTGAGGCCTTTCAGCACTAAAGGGACTTTTGGATTTTAGCATTTGGGTAAATTTTTGTGAAATCGTACACAAACAGAAATCCAAATTAACCTAATGGCATCACTGTCATGATGTGAAGGTATTGTCTAGTCTTTTTGGAGAGGCCAAATGGTGGCTCTCTGTAGCTAGTTCTCTTAGATAGCTCCACTTAAGTCACATCAGCCTAAGGAGTGTTTAATGGCCTACTGGAGGCCACAGCTGGAACCTGGCCTCTCCCTCATAAAGGATCTGGGAGCAGGATTGTTACAATCATACCTCACCAAGAAAACATCCTAAAATTTAGCAAAGCAAAACTGGCAATGGTTCTCAGAAAGACCAAGACATACAGCAAATCACTTAGTTTCAGGAAGCCACCACCTGGTGGCAATATCATGAAAACTCTGGCTATCCATGTCAACAGAACTCGGTCCAGTCACTGATGACACCAATTTATAACCACTTCTCGAGTCACTGGCTTTAGCCGGTCCTGGTTTTTCCAGGTATCCTTTGGACTCTGTCCTGTGGGGGCCATTTACTTTTTGTATTGTTTCCAAGTTTAGTGGTTTGCCTCACGTGTGTGTTTCCATGCCTCACTGGTTGTGAAGACTAGGTTTTGTTTTGCCTTGTGCTGCATGTATTTAGGGTAGTCCTTTCTTAAGTGGTCATTTGGTGCTACCCCTGCCCTTACAAGAGTGACATCTCTGGTGGGTTTGGGTGTTTGTCCCTGAGAGAGTATACTGCTGTATATGGTGCCTCACCCTGAATAATGCAAGAGTCTTTGATTGATTTGTAAGGCTTTGTGGTTGGGGTCATTGGGGGGTTTATTGTTGTGGGGTGCACTAGGGTTTGCATGTGTGTATATATGAAGCGATGCTATCACCCTATGCAAAAATTGTTGATCCTCAGGTCTGGATTCAAGGTCAGTTCATCCAGCCAGCATTTCTAGTACCTGGGTGTCCTCCTTGGTCTTTACTTTCAGGCCCTGGTATGCCCTACTCGTCTTTGGAGTGATTTGCTATGGATCGGCTCCTCCGAACCCACACTCGCTATTAATGAGTGAGAGATGTCCATCATCATCATCATCATTGATTTATAGGTTTGTTTCGCTATTTGTGGCTTGGTGATCAAGTAGATGTCCTGAGTTGGCCCTTATTGTGGTTAGGGATTATGTATTGGAGGAGTTGGTGACTTCCACCTGCTGTGTTTGCTCCTCCTTCACTATTCCCAGTTCCACTTGGCATGGTTTGCCAGACCTCTAGTTTACTCCCCCTCCTCATACCTTGTTTTGGCCTCTGAAGCATCTGAGGGTTTGTATTCTGGGCAGGGTTTACCTGTGGGTGTTGCTTGGCATACTCTGCCCCATCCACATCAACAGCAGAGGTAGTTGAACCATCTTTTCCTGGGGTTTCTGAGCCTATTATTTCTTAGGAGGGTAATCTTTAGCTTGGAATGATGCCGTCTTGTCTGTTCAGGCATTGGGCATGGGATACAGTTCTGCTCTGGGGTCTTCATGTGGAACTCCAGGGCTGGGGAGGGGTGGAGGGCAAGTCTGAGAAGGAACCCTGGGTGCCCTTCAACCATGCCTGGTTTCAAGTTCTATCTGTAGAGAGAGTTTCACTCAGGCCAGAATATTTTACTTTCTCTGTCCATGTTCGAACTGGATTCCTCAGCATATCCTTCCTGGGTTTGCTAATGTGTACCTCTAGTCCTCAGACACACATTTCTGGAGGTTTGTCATTACCCCTTGCTGCTCCTTCATCTTGGGCAAACCTCTTTTGGTTTCTCCTGTGTGGCGCAATCAGAGAACACTGTATAAACATCAGAGGTCTGCGGTTGTTCATGGTCCTACCAGCGAGCATCAGAAATATTGCCGGAACAACCGTGGACATCTTGAAGAGAAAACTAGATTGTTTTTATCAAGGAGTGCCGGACCAACCGGGTTGTGATTGGTATGTGGGCCTGCGGGCCGCTCCAAGCAACAGGCTGGTGGACCAAACAAACAAGTCAAGCCGGGCCTCGGGCCGGGCTTGGGGAGTAGAAGAACTCTCAGAACCCCATCAAGCAGGTATCAAGCAGGTGGGATCAGGGCCTCACTTCCTTGAAGGGTACAGTGTCATTAGGTCTAGCCAGTCTGAGGTCTACCCTTGGGCCCATGATGTTTACACATTTATGGCTTTGTCCACAGTTTTTTTCAACATATCATAGACTGTTGTTAGGGCTTGGGGTTTTTGGAAATCTAACATGATCCTGGTGGCTCATTACCTAGTCAATGTTCCAGGTCCCTGTCAGGTCTGTGTTGCCCTGGGTTGGGTTTCCTATTCCAGGTTTTCTTCATTGAGGGTGTAATCTTCACTCTCCTCCTCCTCCCTGGTAAGTGGCCTTTTTTCCTTTTGTTCTGTGGTTAGTTAGCTATAGGGAGCCACTGTTAAATCGTAACAGTGGCTCACAATCATAACAAATTGTAACAATTACCTGTCTCCTTGCACCCCTGTAAGAGTTGCAGCCCAGGTACTGGCTCTGGTAGGTCATTAAGGACATCCCAAGCTGATGTGATTCATCTGTTTGAGATATCTAAGCCAGCTAGCTACAGGGGATGCCACTGAAGCCTACCCTGAAAAGTTATTTCATTACATTCAATTCTGGTTAAATTGTATATATATATTTGTATTTGTTTGATATAGAAATTTAGACTTATTTATTTTCAGGCACAATTATACCCAACAGTTGGGCTACAAACTCCGGGAGAAGTGGTAGATGCAAATTTTGGTCAGGCCCCATTTGTTTTCGACATTGGAGAGATGATGCGAGAGTTGCAGTGCCGCGTGCGGACAACAATCCAAAACTTCCCTGTCCCAGACACCTACGGACAGTGGCAAACTATGCTCCATAGGTAAGTTACCTTATGCAAAAAATATATTCATGGCGTGCAAGTTGCCCAAATTGTTTAACTTTAAAAATATCCATTAGAATGTATTAGGGGAAGAGGTTATAAAATAGTTATAGATATCAATTAAATATTACCAGGTTATACTGCACTGCCTTTCCTGTGGAAACTAATGTTTTGACAGTACCAACATGGTAAACACGCACAATCTAATGAGAGGTAGATTAGTGATAAAGCACCCTGTCAAATCTCTTGCATGTAGGACAACAAAAAATATTGCATTTTGCATTTTGATGAAACCCAGTCAAGGCACTCAGTTTGTACCACAGCAGTGTACAATTAATTGCAGTAATTGACATTAAACTTGTATGATAAAGTGGGTGAAAAAAAAGGTGAAATGACAAGGCACAATGCCAACTAAAAAATAAAAACTGTTGTTTCTGTTCCTGG